TCTGCCAGGTTTTGGTTTCAGGATGATGTTGGCCTCATAAAATGAGTTAGGGAGGATTCCCTCTTTTTGTATTGTTTGGAATAGTTTCAGAAGGAATGGTACCAGCTCCTCTTTGTACCTTTGGTAGAATTTGGCTGTGAACCCATCTGGTCCTGGACTTTGTCTGGTTTGTAGGCCATTAATTGCTGCCTCAACTTCAGACCTTGTTATTGGTTGAATTCAGGAATTTATCTTCCTGGTTTAGTCTTGGGAGGGTGTAAGTGTTCAGAAATTTATCAATTTCTTCTAGATTTACTGGTTTATTTGCATAGAGGTAGTAATCTCTGATGGTAGTTTGTATTTCTGTGGGATCAGTAGTGATATCCTCTTTATCATTTTTTATTGCATCTATTTGAATCTTCTCTCTTTTCTTTTTTATTAGTCTGGCTAGCAGTCTATCTATTTTGTTGATCTTTTCGGAAAACCAGCTCCTGAATTTATTGATTTTTTTGAAGGTTTTTTTTTTGTGTGTGTCTCCTTCAGTTCTGCTTCGATGTTAGTTATTTTTTGCCTTCTGCGAGCTTTTGAATTTGTTTGATCTTGCTCCTTTAGTTCTTTTAATGGTGACATTAGGGTGTTGATTTTATATCTTTCCCCAGTTCTCTGATGGGCATTTAGTGCTATAAATTTCCCTCTACACACTGCTTTAAATGTGTCCCAGAGATTCTGGTACATTGTGTCTTTGTTCTCATTGGTTTTGAAGAACATCTTTATTTCTGCCTTCATTTCATTATTTATCCAGTAGTCATTCAGGAGCAGGTTGTTTAGTTTCCATGTAGTTGTGCAGTTTTGAGTATGTTTCTTAATCCTGAGTTCTAATTTGATTGCACTGTGGTCTGAGAGACTGTTATGATTTCTGTTCTTTTGCATTTGCTGAGGAGTGTTTTACTTCCAATTACATTGCCAATTGTAGAATAAGTGCCATGTAGCACTGAGAAGAATGTATATTCTATTGATTTGAGGTGGAGAATTCTGTAGATGTCTATTAGGTCCACTTGATCCAGAGCTGAGTTCAGATCCTGAATATCCTTGTTAATTTTCTGTCTTGTTGATCTAATATTGACAGTGGGATGTTAAAGTCTCCACCATTATTGTGTGGGAGTCTGCTCTTTATATGTTTCTGAGATCTTGTTTTATGAATCTGGGTGCTCCTGTATTGGGTACATATATATTTAGGATAGTTGGTTCTTCTTGTTGCATTGATTCCTTTACCATTATATGATGCCCTTCTTTGTCTTTTTTGATCTTTGTTGGTTTATTGTCTGTTTTGTCAGACAGTGGGATGGCAAGCCCTGCTTTTTTTTTCTTTCCATTTGCTTGGTAAATATTTCTTTATCCTTTTATTTTGAGCCTATGTGTGTCTTTGCATGTGAGTTGGGTCTCCTGAATACAGCACACTGATGGGTCTTGAATCTTTATCCGATTTGCCCATCTGTGTCTTTTAATTGGGGCATTTGCCCATTTACATTTAAGGTTAATGTTATTAGGTGTGAGTTTGATCCTGTCATCATGATGCTACTGGTTATTTTGCAAAGTAGTTGATGCAGTTTCTTCATAGTGTCATTGATCTTTGTATTTTGATGTGATTTTGCAGTGGCTGGTATGAGTTTTTCTTTTCTCGATTTAGAGCTTCCTTCAGGATCTCTTGCAGGACAGGCCTGGTGATAACAAAATCCCTCAGCATTTGATCATCCATAAAGGATTTTGTTTCTCCTTTGTGAAATTAAGTTGAAATGAATGTATAGTGGTTAATGACATGAATTCAGGTTCAAAGTCCCTCTCATTCTATTTATGTGACATTAGTCAAATTATTTCTCCTTTCTTTGCTTCAGTGTCTTCATCTGAAAAGGGGACAATAGGACAATATCTATACCTACCTAATATTTGTGAGAAAAGTTAGTGTATACAAAATGCTTAGAGAAGTACCTAGCTCATAGTAATTGGTACATACGTTTTTGTAAAACAAGTGAAGAAAGTTACATAGAAATAAATTTTACAATAAATTGCATAATAACTTTATAAAGAAAATTATAAAATTGTACTGGAAAAGAAAATCTAAATATATGGAGTGATATACCATTTTCATGGACAAGGATGCTTAATATTTATACAGATATTAATCCACTACACATTAATCCACAGATTTGACATTTGAATCAAACTCCTAACTTAATTTCTCATGGAAATTGATGAGCTAGTAGTAACATTTACATTATGAGGAAAGGAACAAAAATAGCCATGATTTTCTTCAAGAGATAGTGCTAGGTGGGGGTGCTTGACTTCTAAGAAATTAAGATTTTTAATGAATCTTTGATAATTAAGACAATGTAGTATTGGTAGAGAGATAGAAACAGTGCACCAATTATATAAAAAAAGGGAAACAAAAACAGACTATTTTATAGATGGAAACACAATATGTAATGAATGATCATCCATTCGACATTGGTTAATGAGACTGGATTCACAAATTATACTACACACAAAACAACTTTAAGTAGATTAAGGACATTAATGTGAAAAGCAAGATTTAAAAATTTAAGAAGAACATGTTTAAGAGAATGACTTTATGATTTCCAGGGTGGGGATATATTTCTTAAATAAGACCCAAAAAGTACATTCCAGAAATAGAAAGATTAATAAATTCAGGCACATTAAAATTAAGACCTTATGTTCATCAAAAATCATGCAGGAAGTGAATAGACAAGCCACAACAGGGAAAAGACATTTCCAACAGATATAACCAGCAAAGATTAGTATTTAGGACATGTAAGTAAACCTAAAAACCAAGAATACAAATATTCTAATAGAAAAATTGAAGCTATATTATTTCAAAGAAATATCAAAAGTCATTGAACGTATGGAAAATGCTCAACCTTGTTAGGTATCAGAAAAATGCAAATTAAAACCACAATGATATAACATTCAAAATTCTTCAACTTGGCAAAAATGGAAAGTATAAACATATCAGCTGTTGGTAAGGATGTAGCACAATAGAAATTCTCATCTTCAGCTTTAGGTATATTTTAGAATTACATTATCCCCCACATCTCTGCTGGGGGATAATATAATCATTTGGAAAAAAATATGGCATAGCTTGCTAAAGCTGAAGATGAAATTACCTTATTTGTCTCAAGTAATTTGTCTCAAGTATAAGCCCTATAGAATTGCTTGCTGTTAACTCTGTAATCATATTTTTCTAATTAATAATATAAAATATGCAATTATATATGTATGTTTGGCTGGCCATGTATATGTATATATGTATACACACACACATACACACAGATGGATCTATTTTTCTATGGCCAGCCAAATATGAATACTTTTTTAAACCTATATTTCAGTTAGTACTGCTAATTTATCTTTTCCCAGGAAAAAATTTTGATTTTATTTGAGTTTTCTTATTATCAGATGGCTGAACATAATATTCCCTTACAATTCCTTTAGTTTCCTTTGTGCTTGGAATAAATTTTCCTTTCTGATTTCTAATTTTGTTATTTACTCATGGACTCATTCAATAAATAAGTATTGAATGCTTAAGATATAGTCATTACTGTAGGTCTCCGGAATTGTGTGGGGTTCATTGTCTAGTTGGGGAGAGATAGACAATGACCAAGTGCCTTAGTGCCCTTTACATTTCTGTGACAGAATACCTGAGACTGAGGAATTTATAATGAACATAAATATATTGGCTCATAGTTCTGGAGGTTAAGTCCAATACCAAGGCTTTGGCATCTGTTGAGGGCCAATGTGTCATCCCATGGTGGAAAGTGAATAGCAAAAAGAGAGAGAAAGGGGACAAACTCACTCTTTATAAGGAATTCACTCCTGTAAATAAGGGCATTAATCTGTTCATGAAGGCAGAACCCTCGTGGCCTAATCACCTCATAGAAGTTCAACATCTTAATACCATGGCAATTAAAATTTCATCATGAGTTTTGGAGGGGACAGATATTCAAACCATAGAATTCTGATCCTTGTCTCCAAAAAATTTATGTTGTTCTCATATACAAAAGACATTCATTGTACCTCAGTAGCCCCCAAAGTCTTAGCTCATTCCTGTATCAACTCAAGAGTTCAAAGTCCAGAGTGTCATAAAAACTAGCTATGAGCAAGACTCAAAAGGCATGATTCATCCTGAGGCAAATTCCTCTCCATCGGTGAGCCTATGAAATGAAATGAGTTACGTGCTTCCAAAATACAATGGTGGAACAGGAAGGTGTAGGATAGACATTCCAATTCCAAAAGGGAGAAATAGGAAAGAAGAAAGGGGTAATTGATCTCAAAGAAGTTCAAAACCCGGTGGAGTGAACAATAGTAAATCTAAGACTTCAGAATAACCTTTGACTTCATATGCCATTTTTTGGAACACATTGTGGTGGTGGTTGGGCACACAAGGCCTTGGGGAGCTTTAGCCCTATGGCTTTACAGGACTCAACCACAAAAGCAGCTCTGTTGGGTTGGAGTCTTGTACCTGCAGATCACCTAGGCTGGTGTTGCATGCTGGTGGCGCTACAGTTCTGGGGTCTTGGAGGAGGTCTTGCCCCCATAGCTCCATTAGGCCGAGTGGGGACTCTGCAGCAGCCCTGTTCCCACAGTTCTCCTAGGCATTGCCCATGTGGGGGCTCTCGGCAATGACATCATTCCTGTGGTAAGTCTCTGCCTGTGACATCCTTTGAAATCTGCTTGGAGGCACCCATGCCCTCACAGCTCTTGCATCCTGTGCATCTGCAGAATCAGCACCACATGGATGCTCCTAGGGTTTATGGCATGTAACCTTCTGCAGTGGGCCAAGCCGTACCTGGTCTGTTTGAGCCACAGCTGGGACAGCTAAGGAGCACTGGAAGTGGGAAGCAGAGACTTGAGGCAGCCCTGGGCAGTGTGCCCCAAAGTCTGGAGGGTGTCGTAAGCCTGTCTTTTGACATATGTCCTTCCTCCAGGAAGGACCTGGCAGTCTGAACCTGTGATGGGAAGAGTGTCACCAATAATCTCTGAAGTGCCTTGGGGGTCGCTGACAACAGCCTCTGGCTTCCTTCTATCCACACGAACCTCCTTATCAAAAGGTGAGTTGGCTGTACCATTGGTTTCCTCCTGAAAGTGCGCTTTCATCCTCGATCACACGACCAGGCTGAGAGTCCTTCAGAGCCCTAAGCTGTGTTTTCCTTTCCATTATACAATTTTGTGTTTAAATAATTTCTCTCTTCTCAAAATTTAGTATACGCAGTTATGAAAAGCCACACAGCAGCCTGAATACTTTGCCGCTTAGATATTTATTTTACCAGATATTCTAGTTCATTCTTCTTATATTCTGCCTTTCACAAAGCACTTGGGATGTACACAATTCAGCCAAGGTCTTTGCCACTTTAACAAAGTGGCCTTTACTCAAGTGTCTTGTACCTATTCTCTCATTTCAACTTGAGACCTTATCAGAATTGCCTTGACTGTCCTTATTTCTGCCAAAATTCTGATCAACAACCACTCAGTACCCTCTAGGAAGATTCAGACTTTCTCTACAGTCCCTTTCTTCCTCTGACACCTCACCAGAATTGCTCTTAATGCTCCTTTCATGGCAATGCAGGCTGTTTCCAGTCAGCTTCTCCAAACTCTTTCAGCCTCTACCCATTTCCCAGTTTCAAAGCTGTCTCTGTGTTGTCAGGTGTTTGTTACGGCACAATTGCCACTTCTTGTTAACAATCTTCTGTCTAAGTCCATTTGTGCTACTATAACAAAATACTTGAGACTGGGTGATTTATAATGAACAGAAATTCACAGGCTCACAGTTATGGAGGCTGAGAAGTCCAATATTAAGGTGCCAGCCTCTTTCAAGGGCCAGCCTTCTTGCTGTATTATCCCATGGCAGAAGGGAGACGGCAGGAGAGTTAGAGAGAGGCAGAGAGAAAGAGAGAGAAGAGAGGGAAAACACACCACTTCCTTTTTTATTTTAGGTTTAGGGAAACGTGATGGTTTGTTATATAGGTATACTCACGTCACAGTCTCTTTTTAGTTCTATGTGGGGCAACATTAGGACAATCATGAAATCCCTTCTGGGGGCTCCGGTGTGTGAGTTGGGGGTCTGCAGTGGTTCCTGCTCAGAGCATACTTTCTGGAGGCTGTGCACTTCACAGGCCGGTCAGAGAGGTGGAATACGAGCTGCTCAATGACCCGTAACAGGGCTGCCGACAGGTCAGACAGTGACCCTGAGCCTGGGAACACCCCACTTGAGTGTCCAGCCCATCCAGCCCCACCCTGATTGAGCTGCTCAGGGCTGAAGGTATTTCTCTCTGATCCTCCCCTGAAGCACCCAGAGCACGAGAATCTCTTAATGTTGTACAGATTATTACATCACCCTGGTATTAAGCCCAGTACCCAACAGTTATCTTTTCTGCTCCTCTCCCTCCTCCAACTCTCCACCCTCAGACAGATCCCAGTGCCTGTAGTTTCCTTCTTTGAAACACATCCCTTTCTAACACACCCACTCCCATGATGACAGCATTAATTCATTCATTAAGCCAGAGCCCTTATGGCCTAATCACCTCTTAAAGCTCTTACCTCTTAAAACTGTTATAATGGCAGTTAAACTTCGACATGAATTTTGGAGAGGATGAAGATTCAAATCACAGAACCAGGTAAACATAAATGTTATAATTTCATGTACTTATAAGTATTACTAACAAAACCTGAACAAGACAAGAGATATTTTTGATAATGATGAGGACATCTATAAGGGGGCATCCTCTTCCATTTAGCAATTTCTGCTTGATATTTAATGGTGTATAATTTGGCACATAGGGGATTATGACAATGAGCTTTGTGACATTGTCATGGAAGCCCCCGCTTTCTTCCCATTCTGTCCACGTGGGTCTCGGCACTGTCCCTCTCTGTTCACCTTCCTGACTACTTTGCTGGGAAGCCCTCATTTATGTAGCACATAGTAATTTTTACCCCAGTTGCATTTGTCTTATTTGCATATATTGTTATGGCAAATGTACTTGCTCTTACTTTCATCCTCTTATGCTCCATTTTATATTTCTTCCAGTGGGTATTTGTATTTTTACATTTTGCTAAATGGTCTATAGTTTCTTTGCTTTTTTTTGGTCCTAGTAATATGGAAGGCACACAGTCTCTCTCTCTCTCTCTCTCTCTCTCTCATTCTCTCTCTTTTGAGTCAGAGTCTTGCTCTGTTGCCCAGGCTGGAGTGCAGGGGCACAATCTCAGCTCACTGCCACCTGCCTCCCAGACTCAAGTGATTCTCTTGCCTCAGCCTCCCGAGTAGCTGGGATTATGGGAGTGTGCCTCCATGCCTGGCTAATTTTTGTATTTTTAGTAGAGACAAGGTTTCACCACATTGGCCAGGCTGGTCTTGAACTCCTGACCTCCAGTGATCTACCTGCCTCAGCCTCCCAAAGTGCTGGGAATTACAGGCATGAATCATAGCATCCAGCCACACATTTTCTTTTTAGTTCTATATGGGGCAACATTAGGACAATCATGAAATCCCTTCTGGGGGCTCTGGTGTGTGAGGGAGGGGCTGCAGAGTCTCCTGCTCAGAGCACACTTTCTGGAAGCTGTGCACTTCACAGGCTGGTCAGAGAAGTGGACAACGAGGTGCTCAATGACCTGTAACAGGTCAGGCAGTGACCTCATGCCTGGGAACAGACCACTTGAGTGTCCAGCAGTGAGCTCCCAGCCCATCCAGCCCCAGCCCAATTGAGCGGCACAGGGGTGAAGGTGTTTCTTTGTGATCCCCCACTGAAGTACCCAGAGCTTGAGAATCTCTTAATGGAGGCTGCTGTGGCTGAGCCCCCCTGATGAGGGATGCTTTGGACTAAGGAGACAGCAATACCCGTGGGTGCCACCTGGAAACTTTTGTACCACCCCTGCTGGTGCGCTCACAATGCCAGACCATGGACTCCAGGTGGTGAGGACCATTCCATGTGCTTTTCTGTGACCCCAGCATGCCCCCACCCTGCCTAACGTGAGACTGTAACAGCTCAGCATGTGTGGCTCAGACAGGGAGGATCCTGGGAAACAGGCACTGCCTTGTCACTGCTCTCTTCAGTGCAAATCAGGATATTCCCAGGAGCACAGACTTCATGTGACTGTGCCCCCATTGCCAAGCACACTGGCAGTGGCAAGAGGACTTGGGGCTAAATAAGGGTTTGGAGTCTGGGGGGCCATGATCTGGGCCATAGTGGGAGGTGAAGAGGGTGGATCATCTCTGGTGAGGTGTGAGCTGAGGCGCCAGGCAGGAGGGAGATGGTGCGCTGGGGGCTTCTTGGGGGTCAAGGGATGGGCAGTGGGGCTGGAGTAGTAGGATGGGCTGGATCTGACCTGGGAAATGCACTTATGAGAACCCAGATTGGACACAGCATCTGTGATGAGGGGACCACTGTAATTCAAGAGGAAAAATGTTGGAATGAATGAAGGGTGTGGAAATGGCGAAGGAGAAGGGATATGTTTTAGAAATCCAAAAGTAAGTAACATGAAAGGATCATGGAACAGATTGAAAGCCAGGCTGGGGGAGGAAATGCCATGGAACATGGGGGCTGGTGGTGCCATTTGCTCTGGAAGGAGGCACGGGGGTCATTGAGAGGGAGGAGTCTGGAGCCAGGGTGACCTCATGGGAAGGATCAGGACAAGGCAGGTGGGAACCGAAGACCTTGCCACCACCATGCCTGCTCCACCGAGTTCTGGGGCTGCCCCATGATTGGTTCCCTGCATGTGGTGTGAGAAACAGGGAGGGCGAGAGTCTCAGAACCACCAGAACCTGTACTCCTGGAGAGTGACTGTGCCAGCTGCTGCCAAGGCCAGAATTGCTTCCAGGAGACACTGCTGATGAAGATGAACAGAAAGAATGAATGAGTGAAAGAAAAAAAGGAAGAGCAGCAGGAATGAATGGAGGAAAGAAGGAAGGAGGAAGGGGAAGGGACTGAGGCTGCTTCCTATGGGCTGGGGGAGCCATTCATGCAATATGTCCCACACATTATGTTACTTACTCCTCGGGGTAATCTGATGTTTTTGCCCTCATTTTAAAGATGAGGAAACAAAAGCCTCATGGGGATAAGAAATGGCCGGGCTAGAATCAAACCCTGGCAATGGGACTTGTGTCTCTTAGCTCCATTGCCTCTAAGTGGAGAAATGAATGAAACATGGGGGATAGGATGGACAACATATTCACTTACTGACTACATGTGTAATAACAAGGTGATTGTCCTCTCAACTGTCTCTCCTGGATTGATCTGTGCTGTTAGAAATCAGGACAGGAGCTACTCCTGGAAGATGTGGGGGCCAGGCACACAGAAGGCTTCTGTGGCGCAAGTCATGCATGTCTCAGGCTGGGCGCTGGGGGCCAGGACTGCGGTGGGGGAAGTCTCTATAATGTAAATCTGGAGTCCTACAGTCACGGCATCTTTGGGTAATTGAGACAAGGACTGATGCAATCAGTAGAATAATAGAATGTATCACTAAGTTAATGGACACAGTGTGCCTGGAATGCACATCACCCTAAACGTGGGGATAGATCCACTGCCATGGGTGTGGAATTTGTTAGAACTCTCCAAGCTCCATGGGGCTGGAGACTCCAGTGCCAAAGTGGGATGGGTTTGTGGCTTCAGCTCTTGGGGATGCAGCTTCCAGCCTCCCCTTGTCCAGCTGGCTTTTTATAAGTCGAGATCGGAGGCTCATCCACAAAAAAGAGCTTCTGGACACAGATGCTTTGGCTTCAGTCTTTGGATCAAACAAGAGGTATTTTCATAAGCCTCTGTCTTCTTGCCCTGCTTTGAGTAAGTTCAGTTCAAATTCTGAGTTGCTTTTGGCTCTGACCAAATTCTGCTGTTCTTGGAGGTTTGCTTTGTTTCTTTTTGATGCTCTGCAAGTCAACAATTGCAACATAAACCAAGGAAAGAACATGTGGCGAAGACAGTGGAAAACAGATCCATGCCTGCCAAAGAAAGAGCTGGAAAGACAGAACCGGTCAGTTCCATACGAGCAGCTCAGGGCGCACCACTCCAGAGTGAACGTGCTGGCCTGTGGGTGGAATTCCTCCTGAGTGAGCCCTGCTTTTTAGATCTGGGTTTAGTAAAGATAATTCTCTTCATCCAGTGTAATCG